AATATAAAGAAAACAATAAAACGTAAAACTTTGAGGAAGAGACTTCGAAGTGAAAAGACTGTAAATAAGAAAACTGGTAAATGTTGTTTGACAAAAAGAATAAAGGAAAATACTGGAAATGGTAAAAGGTTTTCATTGAATCAGAAATACATGGTGCTATCATACATACATTTCTCTTGCATTCGTTTCCCTTGCCATGTGGTAGTTTGAATGTTATTGAGTATTTTGTACAATAGATATGACACACGAAATCCTAATACTAAGACTCCTATTTATACTAATTCGACCCTAACGGTCTCGCTATAGGATTATGCCACGTTTCGAACATGCAAAACAATGCTTCTTTCATCTTTCCACGTGTCCCCAAATGCTCCAACACATAACTTTCAAACTTTGAAAGTCCCGCTTCCATTTGAATTTTAAATGCTTTGGTGTTTCTCCGTTTCGAACGCTCTCCCCAAACACAGCCTCGCTGTTGTTTCGAGACTCCTTTAGATATATTCCCATAATTGCCGCTCGAAGCTCCAAGCTTTGACACACTTATTCGAAACACTGCTTCTGCTACTTCGAAATACGACGCTTAATTCCATTTCGATCAAAACATTTAACTTATTTGGCTTCTAAATAACATTATCAAAATCTTCAGCCAACAGCGAGCTAACTCTAAACCATTACTCATTCGCCTAGGAGCAACGACTGGGGGGCTCCTATTCTAGACTGGGCCCGTGGTTGGCCCACTGTCGGGCACGGCCCAACTCACCCTTGCATCGAGAACAACCCAAAAGTTGGTCCAGCTCGTCGAGGCCCAAGCTAAAGATACATCCTCCACGTGCCCCTCACCCGAGGACACGTCATCAACGGACATGGAACACTTTGAATTAACGGACATTGGACTGACAACTCCTCTTTCTGAGCATCGGTAAGACCATGAAGCGTATCTCAAAAATAGATGAATTGTATAAATATGGGGTGCGTTCAAAAATACATTTATAAAAATAGAGAGACGTTTTCAAATTTTCATAGTGTTATTTTCCACCACGTAGAGTGGATTAAGAAATTTCCATAAAATTATTCATTTTCTACATTTTCTCTTTTTAGTTTCAGTATTATGGACCACTTAATTAAGTCCATTACTATAAATGTAAGCCCAGTTGGTGATTGAAATTATGAAATAAAATTATTCTTTTTCTACATTTTCTCTTTTCAGTTTCAGCATTTTTTTCATTGTAATTTGTTATTTCGTTAAGATATCCAATGGGCAAAACTTAATAAGATTTGATCTCATTTTGAATATGTAACAGAAAATGAGATAGAGGCATATTAGAGTTTTAAATTATTTATATGATTTAACATTTTTAAATATTCTAATTAAATATTTATTTAATATTTATTTACATTAACAATACACTACTATTAAATTTTTCTTATATTATATAAACATTATAACACTGGATTGAATTAAGTATTACTTAGCAGAATCAACTACATTTTAGATGGTTATATATGAAATGGGTTTGTTGTAGTCACGTTATCAGTTATTTTTAATTATTTGATTAAGATTAAACTGCTGAGATTTAAACAAATAACTTTTGAAATTAATTAATAAAATTAAAATCTCTTTGTTTTACATTGTTCTATTTATTAGTGCACAAAAATCAATGATGAACAAAAGAATATATTTAAGAGAGTAAAGAGAATAACGACTACAAAGTTATAAGGAAGAATGATTGAACAATGATTGTTGTTGTTACTGTTACAAATGACAGCTACTAATCTATTTATACACAAAATAAATTGCCACTAGACCCTAATATAAGTAAACTTAATGACTAAGTTAAAAGATACGAACTAGAAAATACTAAACTTAACAGCTACGCTAGCAAACTCAACTCTAGGATCTCAGAAGCTAAGCATACTTATAGGCGTAACCTCAAAAGCTTCTGCTTCTGACTAATAACAACTTCTGACTAACAACCTCAGCCTCAGAAGCTCTACTGCTTTTGAGTAACACTGCTTCTAAGTAATACATCAGAAGCTTCTGAATATGAATTACTTCCAACACAGTCACTTAATTCATATTCAACTAACCAAAAAACTACAATACCAATTGAATCCCTCAAACGGATAAAGTGTTCAGTCTTGACATCCTTTGTCAGAACATCTACAAGTTACTTATGGTTGCTACAATGTGCAACTCTATTCAGAAATGCATATTTCACCTTGAAGACCAATCTGACGCTGATGTTTTTCTTCTCTTTCGGAAGCTCAGTTAAATCCCAAGTCTTGTTTCTTTCAATAGCATAAAGCTCCTCTTTCATGGCGTTCAACCACACTTTCTTCTTGAGAGCTTCACAGATTGACAATGCAACCACCGATTGCTTCTTGGAGCACCAAGAAATGAGATTTTCCAAATACAAACAAAAATATCCAGAAGTATTTCTTCTATCAACTCTGTTTCCATATAAATCAGAGTCTGAATATCATATCAGCTCTGAGTTGGATTTAACACCAGAAGGGGACAACATTCCATACCTCAAAGTCCCTTCAGTATCTTTCAGCTTGTCAAACTCTGCAAATCTCCTTGGTATTTTTCTTATTCGTTGTGGCATATAGACTTGTTCAAAATTTCCTTCTGATTCTGGAACAATATCTCCTTCTAGACTTTCTTTTGAAGTTTGACTACCATCAGAAGCTCCACCTTTATTAGCTTATGGACCTCGTCCAGAACCACTACCTTCAGAAGTACCACCTTCAAAAGTTCCACTTTCGTAATCATGACCACCGTCAGAGGATGAACTATCTTCAGAAGCCCTTCCTTCAGAAGATCCACCTTCAGAGTCATGATTATCACCAAAAACATGATTGTCTCCAGAAGCTTGTCCTTCAGTTCCTACGTCTTCAGAGTTTTCCCTTCCAGAAACATGACCACTGTCAGATTTTGGATCATCATCAAAATTTGGATCAGAATCAGATTCACCATCTGACTCATCTTTAGAGTCTCCAGAAGATTCTTCATCTTTTGACTTTAGCTCTTCTTCAAAACTTTCAAGTTCTGACTCATCTTCAAAAGTAGAATCTCCTTCAGATTCTGACTCATCTTCTGATTCTTCTTCAGACTCAGAACCACCTTCAGATTCTGACTTGTCTTCAACTTCAGAGTTATCTTCTAACTCTGTCTCATCTTTAGGAACCTCAGATTCTGACTCATCTTCAGAATCTTTAGTGTTATCTTTTGATTCTGACTCATATTCAAACACTACAAAATTAGAATATTCATAGTCATCTTCTTCCCTTTCATAATCAAAAAATGACAATCGCACAGGTTTCTCATCAGATTAATAAGCCATTAATAGCACAGGTTCATCATCAGAATCTCCTCTAATCATTTTTGCTTCTTCTTTGTTTGACCAACAATCTTTAGTAAAGTGACCAAATTGCTTACAACAGTAACACTAAACCATTCTCTTGTCATACTTCTCCTTTCCTTCTGATGTTTCTTATCATCAAAGTAAAAGACTTTTGACTTCTGAGACCTACCATATTTTCTCTGTTTCTGGTTCTTCTTGACAAAAGAAGCCTTTAGAGCCTGCTCAACTTCCCTCTCAGAAGTTCTTTCAGTCAAACGCAACTCTTGCGCCTCTAGACTGCTTTGCAGCTCTTCTATTCTCATGGTGTCCAGACCTTTAGAATGTTCAATTGCTACAACAATGTAATCAAATTGAGGAGTAAGAGACCTCAATATCTTCTCAATGATTACTTGTTCATAAAAGATTTCTCCACAAATTTTCATCTCATTAGTGATCAGAATCACTCTAGAGATGTATTTAGAAATCTTCTCTTTGTCCTTCATGTTGAGATTCTCATATTACTTTCGTAGGGACTAAAGCTTCACCTTCTTCACTGATGTGCCACCATTGTAGCATCTGACCAATATATCATGCGCCCTTTGATATCGTCGAATCTGCAATCTTCTCAAACACGTTCACATCCACACACTGATGGATGTAGAACAACGCCTTCTGATTTTTCTTTTTTTGTCTCTCTGTGTGTTTCTCTGCTCTTCCATTGCGTTTTCTGTAATTGGAACATAGCCTTCGGTAACAAGCTCAAGAACATCTTGAGCAGCAAATAGCACGCGCATCTGAATCATCCATTTGTTCCAGTTCTTGCCATAAAAAACAAGAAATTTGGTCCTTAGAATACTGTTTCCATTCATCCTTAACCTTGTACAACTCACTCAGATCTCACAAGCACAATGTTTTCCAACCGCATAAAAGAATATATTTAAGAGAGCAAAGAGAATTACGGCTACAAAGTTGTAAGGAAGAATGATTGAACAATAATTATTGTTGTTACTGTTACAAATGACAACTATTTAAACTTAACAGCTACACTAACAAACTCAACTCCAGTACCTCAGAAACTAAGCATACTTCTGGACATAACCTCAAAAACTTCTGCTTCTGACTAATAACAACTCCTAATTAACAACCTCAAAAATTCTACTACTTCTGAACAATACTACTTTGAATATAAATTACTTTCAACACCATTAAAATTAAACGATCGCATGTTTTACATTCTCCAATTAAAATTGGACGGTCACAAACATCATGAATGCGTGCAAAACGTAACAAGAACGAATCCATTTTCGTTATCTAGATAGTATTCGAGTAAAAAAAGAAGTGCCCTTAATGTCATCGGTTAATAACAATATTACACGCACAAACACAAAATTGAGTGTTTGTATTACAAGTCGCAGCGAAAGAAAATTAACAAAACGATGATGATGATAATGATGGTGATGAAGGTGATGATAATAATAATATAGAAATTCAAAATATCTATGGAAATCATCATAGAACAAGAACAAAAAGAATCTACAAAAAAAAATTGAATCATTCTATCGAAATAACGCCAATAAGAGGAAAGAGTATAGTAACCTCGATACAAATGAAGTTACGTATACAAATACAACAACTAGTATACTAGTATATTCTTTACATAATATCTCTCCTTACGCCGTAATTATACTGATTTCTCTGTAGATTCTGTTTCCGTTTCTTGTACACCATCCCTGCCAACATAAGCACGCTCGCCGCCACTATTATTCCGATCGCTATCCCTGCTTTCTTGCTTCCACTCATTCCTTCTGCCGACGAATCATCATCTATTTTTTCATCAAGACCGATGTGGTTAATTAAAGTAGAATCCTCCGGTGAAGGAGCCGGAGTAGTTGAAACTGGAGTCGGATTTAACGGAGGCGGCGCTGGCGGCGACAAATCTAAAGGAGAGTATGGAGATGGAGTGTCAGCCGGTGATTGCTGCGATGGCGACGGATATGGAGTGTCAGCCGGTGACAGAAACGGCGATTGCGGCGGAGATGGAGACGGGGAGGAATCGGCGTTCACATGAAGTGAAAGAGTGAGTAGGATGAGAGGAAAAAAAAATAATCGTGTCCTTGCCATTGGTTTAGAAAAGAGAGAGAAAATTAAAATGGAAAAAAGAAAGAAAGAAAATCGATCCGAAATATAGAGACGAAGAGAAAGAGTGGAAACTGTTTGAAGGAAAACGGTTAGAAAACAGTTAAGGAGTGAAATATCTGAAATTGGAGGGTTTATATCGAAAGGATCGCAAAGGGAAAGGATGTGAGAATGGGACACGTGGCTTTGTAAAAAGTGCGCGATTCACTGGATTGAATTGGAAATGAAGTAAAAGAGTTGAAGATTAGTTCATACGGAAAAGTGAAATGCAATGTAAATGAAAAGAGTTTGTGTAATGGAAAAGATAAGTGAAAGTGATTTTTAAAGAGATGGTAGAGGTAGTTTCGCTTTTCATGTAATTCAAGGAAGAACTTTACATTTTCTATGTGTTTATTAAAATTAAAATGTATGTAACCATGGTTTGTAATTCATATATATTTATATTTATATCTAAATTAATAGTATAAGAAGCAAGAGAAAAACTAAATTTTGTTGATTCTTGTTTCCCAAACGGCATGTTGGTTTAAATTAATGATGTGAAGCTATCATGCATTGCATTGATAGAATGTAATATATATCATGTCTTTTGTAGCGATCTTAAATTAAAATATACGTAATATGATCAATTTATAACTAATCACAACTACCTTGTAACTTTCTTAACCAATATTAACTAATTCTAATTAATATGAAGCTTATTCTGATGGTTCGGCTCATAGATTTTTTGAAGGCGAGTTCAATCAAATGTAGGCTCACGAGGGATTAATATATGGGGGGAAGATTAAACTAAATACTCAATAAATGGGGTTTTTTTTTTTATTAAAGCCTCGACCCAAAAATCTAAATTACTCAAGTTTAATAACACAGTTGTCTCATATGTCTCCACCCTTCCCCTTCTTTACCTCTTTTAAAGGCTTGGAGAGAGGAGTTGGTGGTTGTTCTTCTCTAAGTCACTATGTCAGAATCAATCTGGTCATAGCAGTATAAATAGAAACATGAAATTTAACTCTTCATAGTTCATCCTTCACATCAGTATTGCTACTTTGGTTCTCTTTGGTCTCTGAACTCTCCTTGGCATCAGAGCCCTCTGGTTTAGGAGTTAAGGTTGGTTTCTGGAGCTTGAACGGGATTGAAGCATGTTGCTTGAGGAACTTGTAAAAGGCTACCACTGTACGATCTTCCTCAACAGTAATCTGCAGACACAATTAAGCAATTATAAATGTTAATCACTAAGTGATAAAGCATACGCGGATCTTCTCGCGCATACACAGAGGTATATTCAAATTTATGAAACCTGAATTAACAAAATATGAAGTGTTGTTTCACATACAGGATCAAAACTTTTGTTTCCGGCTGGGAAGAAGAGAAGAGTGGGGAATCCATCAGACTGCAAAGTGAACATAAGTCGAAATTGATCCATAAGTTATTACATCTGCATTTGAAGCTGGAATGGAATTCAAAATCTTGCAATGTCTAGTTTGAATTTGGGTTTACCTTTGCCCTGGGATGCTCATTTGTTGTTCCATCCATCTTGGCTATTACAAGAGAGTCAACACTACGAAGATGTTTTGCAAGCTTGTTGTATATTGGTTCCAAATGTTGGCAATGACCACACCATGGAGCATATATCTGATGTTCCATTCCATCAACCATTAAATTAACACGACAAGATTGCAGAACTTTAGATGCAAATATAACTCGTAAACTAGAGGGTCAAAGTTGTACCTCAAGGAGAACATCCTTTGATTCATCCAACACAATTTCATCAAAATTATTTCCAACAACTATTTTCACGTCACCATCATTCTGTCACCAAGTTCGCAAACATGTTAGACATGAAACACCAAGTAAATAAAGCATAATTGTTGGCGGCAAAATCAAACAACTTACACTTTCGGGAATTGGATCTGACTTGAAAAAAGGTTTAAGTTTGTCTTCAAGGAAATCTTCCCCAAATGCCTGATTGAATGAAAGAAAGGATTTCATACACATTCTATATAATATGGCAGCAAAACCAACAGAGCCCAAGTAAAGAGAGAAAAAGAGTACCTTAATTTTGTCAACAGTCACCTCTCCATCAAACACAAATTTTTTCCCATCATCGTTTCCAGTGTATGCAAGCACCTGCATTCGAAATTCCACGGGTTACTTAAATATACTTCCAAGTGATTCAAAGGATGCAATATGTAAATTTTACGAACTTCATGACTTATCATTTAAATTAAAACTTAAAAAGGAAGATGAAATAATTACTTTTGGAGCAGTCCCACTAATACCAAAGTATTCTGAAACAGGCTTCCCAGCATCTTCGTTATCAGTTTCCACAAGCACAAAAATCAACTGCAATTGATAAGTGCACAGTTAAATCATTCATTCTAGAGTGAAAATCAAACGACCCACAAATCGGATATCACCACTAAGCATATATCAAACGCTCAATTCTCATGATTTTATAAACGGAGGCATGTTCAGCAGATTCAATACTCATAACAACCCACTAATGAGTACACCACACCTGATTTCTTGTGGAAAGCAAGGAAATCTATTTTATTTTGACATAATAATTAGTTACGTCTATGAAAATATACCTTTCCCTTGAAAGACTTCGCTGCTTCCTGAAATACTGGGAGGAATTTCTCTGAATCATTTGAAGTCACAAACAGCAACACCTGGAAAAAAAAAAGTTTCAAACATGCAGCAAACTTTGAAGAACATTGTGATGCCATTTCTCGAGAACAATTTGCTAATGAGATTAAATTATAATAAGATACATCTCATAAACAATCACCTGTTTCTTGATTGGATTTTCAAAGACTTCTGGAGCATTTTCTCTTGTAAAAACTGTTACCAAAGGAAGCTTGTTCAAGGAGACAAAGTCTGCTATTGCAGACTTGCCGAATTGGCCATCTGCAGAGACAAGGTGAAAGCACATCAAGTTTGCAACTAAAAGAAAAGAATACAGGCATAAGAAAGAGAAAAGTAAACAAACCAAAATGGTTCAGTTTTTCGTCCTCTTTCTTGATAAGGATCAAAGCAGGGCGTTTGACATTAACATCAAGATGGAATAGCTTTGCCACTTCAGGATCCACAGTCTGATAAAAATTGACATCATCCTCAAGTCGTGAAGCCGCAGCTAACTCCTCACTCTCAGGACCCTACATATTGTGCATGAAAGGATAAGCAACACACAACAATCAACAATGACATTCACTCCATATAATCAAATCAACAATGGTAAATGTCTTTTATGGTCAACTCATCAAAAACAAATTTGCTGATTGATCATGAGATAAAGCAAAACATGTTACTACAACACACTTATCCAAGGATTTAAAAAACGGTCCGTTACCGCAAAAAAGGCCACAAGAAAACAATATCAGAAGGTTCCGATACTAATACCATTATTCACCGTTTTTATGATAAAGAACAAATTATGGTTAACTCACACCGCAACGACCGCAATCAGTATCGCAACACCTGTACCAACCGAAATCGCAAAAGCCTGTACGCGACCATTATTTAAAACCTTGCACTTATCTAATCATAATGAAGATCATATGCAAACATCAATCTAACAAACCACTTAAAATCAACGTTTAACTTAAGGAACAAGAAACAAATCAACAAGTCTCGCCACAACAAACTTCAGTAATCAAATTAATAGCATATGTATATGCAAACACCAATCTATCATTTAACTTAAGTAACAAAATAAATAAAACATGATAAGAATCCACTTGCTTTTACTTACAACTAAAGAATTGAGGAAACCCAAAACAAGTTTGGTTTCAGCGGCCAGTATGCTTTGAGCATCATCCACAGAAGTAATGTTATGTATACCAGGTCCTGTTTTCTTCTTAATCCACGCAACTATAGCTTCTCTGCAAAACAAGGAAACAAAACAAAACAAAACATTTTCAGATCCGATAAATATGAAATTGAAATCGAAAGAGAAAATATTAGAGATAATTACTTGGTTCTCTGTCCAGAATAAGTCTTGTGAACACCATCAATGAAAAAATAGATAGTAGGAAAACCCTGAACATCAAACTTCTGAGCAACCTCACTCTCTTCAGTCGCATCAATCTTGGCCAAAACAACATTCTCCCCCTTCAACTCAGTAGCAGCCGCAGCATACTCCGGAGCCAACGCCTGACAATGACCACACCACGGTGCATAGAATTCAACCAACACGAACCGATTATTGTTAACCACGTCAGTGAAGTTGTTATCCTTCAAAACGACGACGTCCTTTTCGTCGAATTCGGGAGGTTGATAAGACTCCTGATGCTCGTAGCCGGAGAAGTCTTCTTCGAGATCGGACTCGTTTTCAGCGTCATGGTGATGGTGGTGGTGGTGGAGGTCGGTTTCGTCGGGTTCGTCGAGGAAGGTGAGATCTTCGTCGAGTTCTTCGTCGGAGAGGACGTGAGAGAGGGAAGAAAAGAAGAGGAGAGTTGTGAGGGAAAGGAGAATGAGAATTCGCATTGCAGAAAACGAAGTGAAACGAAGAGAGAAACAGAGAAAGAGATCTGTGTGATGAGTTGTGACTGTGATTTGAGAATGGGTTGACTTTAAACTAACTGCAATTGGAATAGACCTTCCCTACGACGCCGTTTTACTGATTCGTTACAATTTATTTACTACTGCAATTAATCCGCGTTTTACTGCTTTTCTTTCCTTAATTACACTTATGTTTCTTTTCGGTGACAACCATAATTTATACTAAGCCATTTTATTTTTTATATTTTTCTTGTAATTCTTTTTTTTTTTCATTTATAATTTTTTATAGTTTTGACTGAAATTTTATTTTATAAGCAGGGATATTATGAATTTAATCTCAAGTTTTTATTATTAGATGTTAATTCAAGTTTTTATTATTAGATGTTTATGGATAACTTTCAATTAAATTATTATGTGATGAATAGAGAGTATCAATTATTAATAAATTTAATAATATTTTTTTTAACTTTTGTGATTTAATTAAATGGTTTTATATTTAAAGATGTTGATAAATTTATTGTTTGAAAAATAATAAAATTTATTAGTTTCTTTAATTTTTTTTTTAAAAAAGAAGGAAAACGTATCACTTATTTATTAATTTAATTGAATGAATTTAATTTCATCTAGCCTATATAAAAATATTATTATATAATATTTATAATTTGACTTATGATGTAAAATTTATTTATATAGACAATAATATAGAAATTAAATACTTTTTTATTAAAAATGAAAATCATATTTTAATATTATATTGGTAAGATAACTTTTGTAAAATATATTAAACAAAATTTAATTTTTGTTAAATTGTAATTCGATTGTGTCGAAACAGTGTGTGTCGAATGGAGGTTGTCCAGTCGAAAAATTTATGGATCGAAGTAAGCTACACAGAGATTTGATTTAGATTTAAAATAGATAGATTTGATTTAGTATCAAAATAGGTATTTTGGACTTTTATAGTTTTGGATTTTGATTTAGGGAGCAAGCTAACTTAAATCTATAAATAGAGGGAGTAACCCATAATTTTGTAAAAAAAAGTTAATTCATTGTAATCACGGAATTTGCAGTTGCAAGTGATTAATAAAGTTTTCTACATTGTGGGGCAGAGAGAAACTCTGCAGAAAATAATTGTTTTCTTTTCTTTTCTCATAATTCATTTTCATTGTGTGGTGATATCAATCTTGTTCATCAAGATTGATAGAAATCCATCATAGATATTTGGTGGATTTCCAACATCTGGTATCAAGAGCTCGGTTAATCGATTCAAGGGAAGTATCGATAAAGAACGATTGAGGAAGAAGAAGAATTCACGATGGCGAGTTATGGGAATGCAAATTATCCAGCAACTCTACAAATTCTGAAAGTAGACAACTATGAGAATTGGTGCAAACAGATGAAAGTTTTATTCAGGTGTCAATGTCTTTGGGATCTTGTAAAGGATGGATTGGAAGCGCTTGGAGAAAACGCTTCAGAAGAAGAAAAGAAGAAACACACAAAATCTGAGAAGTTGAGTTATAAAGCACTCTTTATAATTCATCAATGTCTGAGTCCATAAGATTTTGAAAAAGTGAGTGATTCAATATCTGCAAAAGAAGCTTGGGAGGTTCTTGAGAAGTCTTTTAGTGGTGCAGAAAAGGTGAAAGAAGTAAGGTTACAAACTCACAAGAGAATGTATGAATTGCTTCAGATGGAAGATAGTGAGAGCATATCTGATTTCTTCACTAGGGTTACAAAACTAGTGAATCAAATCAAGGTATGTGGAGAAACATTAACAACAAGAGTTGTTGTTTCGAAGATCGTGAGATCTTTGACTCCTAAGTCCGGCCACGTGGTGGTGGCTATAGAAGAGGGGAAAGACTTGTCGAAATTGACAAAGGAAGAGCTTTAAGGGACGCTTGAATCTCATGAACAAAGAATGACTGAAAGAGCTGCAGGCAAGTCGAAGAGTGATGTGGCTTTGTAGGCACATTCAGTAAAAGAAACCAAAGGCAAAGGAAAGTAGTTCGACAGAGGTAGAGGTGGCTACGACAAATCGATTGGTAGGGGAAACTAGAACGGAGGAAACGTGTCGAATCAGAGAAGACCATACTAAGGCAATCAAAGAGGTGGTGTTACAAATAGAGGAAGAAGTGGTGGTCGAAAACCTGACAAGAGTCACATTCAATGTTACAATTGTCAGAAGTATGGTCACTATTCGAGTGATTGTCTAGAAAAGCGAAAGAATCAAGAAAGTGATGCAAAGTTTTCAAAACATGAAGAAGAAGAGATGATGTTGATGGTTGCAACAAGTGATGAAGATAGATTCAAGGACCAATGGTACTTGGATTCAGGATGCTCATCACATATGTGTGCAAGGAAAGACTGGTTTTTCAACATAAAGCCCTCAATGAAAAATATGGTAAAATTCACAAATGACAATACCCTAGCAGCTGAAGGTATTAGTGATGTTATGATTATGATGAAAGATGGTAAGAGGTCAGTAATTTCCAATGTGTTGTACATACCAGGCATGAAGAGCAATTTGCTCAGTATAGGGCAGTTGGTCGAAAAGAATTATAAAGTGTTGATCGAAGATAAGATGATGAGAGTCGTCGACGCAAATGGAAGATTAATCTTGAAGGCTCCTATGTCTCAGAATAGAACCTTCATGATTGAACTAAGTGTGATGGAGCACAAGTACCTTTCGATCGCAACTAGCAGAGATGAATGGGTATGGCATTATCGACTAGGCCATCTCAACTTTAGAGACATCAGAGATTTGAAGAGAAGAAATATGGTTTCAGGATTTCCAAAAATCGACATTCCAAACGAGGTATGTGAGAATGTGTGCAGGCAAAGCAGCACAAGAATAGCTTCAGCAAGAATACAAGAAGCAGGTCAAAGGTTATTCTTGAAGTCATATACTCTGATGTATATGGACCAATCCAGGTGGATTCGATGGGAGGTAACAAATACTTTGTTACATTCATAGATGATTTCATTCGAAAACTGTGGACTTACCTGATCAAGAAGAAAAGTGAAGTGATCGAGGTATTTGCCAAGTTTAAGTCTACGGTCGAAAGACAAAGTGGTCGAAAACTCAAAGTTTTGAGAATTGATGGTGGTGGAGAGTATGTGTTGAAAGACTTCGACGTGTTATGTGAAAAGGAATGGATTATGCATAAGGTGGTGCCACCCTATACTCCACAACATAATGGATTTGCATAAAGGAAGAATCGAACCATCATGAATATGGTGAGAAGTATGTTGAAAGGCAAGAATTTACCTAAAGAGTTTTGGGGTGAAGCTGTGTCGACTGCAACATACATTTTGAACAGATATCCTACGAAGAAGCTAGAAGAAATTACTCCAAAATAATGTTGGTTTGGTGTGAAGCCTAGCTTGAGTCATCTAAAGGTATTTGGATCTATTGCACATAGACATGTGCCAGATCAGTTGAGAAGGAAACTTCATGACAAGTCAAGTCAAATGATTCTAGTTGGATATCATTCGACAGGAGGTTACAAGTTGTTTGACCCAGTGAACAAGAAGATTGTGATCAGCAGGGACGTGATCATAGATGAGCTTAAAGAATGGGATTGGGCTGAAAATGTCAAGAAAGATTCAGTGGGAATCCTACTTGAAGAACCAGAAACTCAAGTCGAAAGAGAAGTTTGAAAAGAGGAACCAGCAGTTATAGATCAACCAAGTACAAGCAGACCTCAAAAAACGAGACGCATGCCTGCAAGATGGCAAGATTATGTGATTACATCAGATGATGTGATAGATAATGAAGGTGAGTTGGTACATTATGCTTTCTATGCAGATGTCGAACCTGCCAATGCAGCTTAAGCATTGAAGGAATCAAAGTGGGTGAAAGCAATAAACGAAGAAGTGAAGTCTATTGAAGATAAAAACACTTGGTTACTTGTTTAATTGCCTCAAGACAAGAAGGCAATTGATGTCAAGTGGGTATTGAAAGTGAAAATGAATTCCAAAGGGGAAGTAACTTGACACAAAGCAAGGCTTGTGGCGAAATAATTTCTACAGAAAGAAGGAATAGACTTGGATGAAGTTTTTGCACTTGCTGCTTGGATCAAAAAAATCAGGTTGGTTGTTGGTCTAGCATAAATAAACATATGGCACATATGTCAGATTGACGTGAGGTGTGCATTCCCGAATGGACCCTTAGACGAATAATTTTATGTTAAACAACCAGTTGAGTTTGTGAAACATGACGAAGATAGAAAGGTGTATAGGCTACATAAAGCCCTGTGTGGATTGAAACAAGCTCCGAGATCTTGGAATAAGAAAATTGATAGTTTCCTAATGGAGAAGGAATTGTGAAGTGCGCAACTGAACATGGAGTATATGTAAGAAGAAGCAATAGTGAATTGCTTATACTATGTCTCTATGTCAATGATTTTTTTATAATAGGTAGTTGCAAAAGTGAGATCGAAGACTTCAAAGGTGATCTCAGCAAGGAATTTGAAATGTCTGATCTGGGTGAGATATCATATTTCCTTGACATCAAATTCTACAAGAGCAGTAGAGGTTTGATGATGCATGAAAGAAGATATGCAGGAGAAATTCTCAAGAGATTTGAGATGGAAGAATGCAACTCAACTCCGACACCTGCAGAACCAAGACTGCAACTGTCGAAAGATGCAGATGAAGATGATGTCGACCCAACCCAATACAGAAGACTTATTGGGTCATTGAGATATCTTTGTCATACAAGGCCTGACTTAGTATATAGTGTAGGTATGGTAAGTAGATTCATGCATAAGCCAAAGGTATCACATCTAGCAGCGGTGAAGAGGATACTAAGGTATCTCAAAGGAACTCTCGACTATGGCATTTTTTTTCCTGCAGCTGATAAAGGAAAAGAATGCAAGTTAGTGAGATACACTGATTCGAGTTGGTGTAGTGATGCTGAAGATCAAAAATCAACAGTTGGATATGTGTTTATGTTAGGTGGTGCACCAGTTGCTTGGAGTTCAAGA